CTTCGCAGCCCCTTCATGCTCTTTGGAAAGAGTACGAGCAGTTTGAGACCAACTTGAACAAGAATACGGTACGTTACGCTCACCAACCCTATCACCGCCCACATGGACAGCGACTTACAAGTCATAACAACAAGGGTCGACGATTCGTAGTTGAACGCTCTCCGATGTTCGTCACTGCACGCAGCGCATGGCAAGAATGGCAGAACATCACAACCGGCCTGAAGCGGACTACCTTGCCGCGCTTGCCTCCCGCACCAGGATTCGACGGCGAGGCAGAGTTCATGCACCAGGTTGACCTTTGGAAGCGATGGATCTCATGGGAGAAGGATGATCCGTTAGTTCTGAAGCTTGAAGATCCCGCAGCATACAAGAAGCGCGTCATTCATGTCTTCAAGCAAGCATTCATGGCTTTGCGCTTCTGGCCGCACATTTGGTATGATGCTGCAGAGTTCTGCTTTCAAAACGACATGAAAGATGAAGGCAACAACTTCCTGGTTCAGGGCATTGCCGCCAACCCCGAGAGCTGCCTTCTTGGATTCACATATGCAAATCGTTTGGAGGAGAGTACAAAAGGCGACAGCAATCACGAGAGACGTGGGCAGGCTGTTCGCGCGCCGTATGACAAGCTTCTCGACGCTCTCTACGCGCTTATCAGTGCCACCAAGACTCGAGAGGAGCAGAATGCGGCTCGCATCCAGGAAAATTTTGCTCGACAAGAGGAGGCTCTGGCTCAGGACATGGATGAAGATGATGACGATGCGGCCGCTGCAGCAAAGGCGAGGGAAACAGCTTTGAATTTACAGCTAGAATCTCTTCGCGCGGGCTCTGCGGTTCAAATCGACTTGCTGAAGAAGACGGTGACTACAGTGTGGACTGCTCTCATGCGAGCTTGGCGCCGCGTTCAAGGCAAGGGCACGGGTAAGGTGGGCGATCCAGTTGGTGGAATGAGGACCATCTTCCAAGAGGCGAGAAAGCGTGGCAATTTGACCAGCGACATCTACACGGCGTGCGCACTCATGGAGCACTACTGCTACATGGACAACAAAGCCACTACCATCTTTGAGCGTGGCACGAAGCTCTTCCCGGATGACGAACGGTTCGCATTGGCGTATTTGAAGCACCTTCTGGCCATCAACGACCCCACAAGTAAGTCATGAACCCTTCACATGTCGAATATTGTTGCTAACAATCCGTGCAGATGCACGCGCCGTGTTTCAGACTGCAGTAACTCGCCTCACTGCAAAGCCAGAGAAGGTTGAAAAAGCCAAGCCCCTCTACGCATTCTTTCATGAATTCGAGTCCAACTACGGCGAGTTGGCGCAAGTCGTCAATCTCGAGACCCGTATGAAGGAGCTTTTCCCGAACGATCCGTACCTCCAACTCTTCGCCCAACGCTATTCGACTCCCGACTTCGATCCCACCGCTATCCGCCCCATCATCTCTCCCATGACCCAAGCCCGTCCCCGCCCGCCCCAAGCTCTGCAGGGTGCAGGTGTCCAGCAAGCTCAGCTCGCCCAGCAACCCCCGGCGATCCAATACAACGACTCCCCTCGCCCTCTCCCAGCTCAAATTTCCCATTATCCTGTCCAACAACACTCTCCATCCCCCAAGCGTCCCTTCATCGCCGATGCCCTCGATGCCGAGCCGCCCCGCAAATTCATCCGCGGCGAGTCCCCCCTCAAAGGCGCTGCCGGTCGCCGGCTCGACGCGGCGAAGCGCAACCTCCAGAACGCGAGCGGCGGATACGGCACTCCGCAAATGGCACCGATGCCACCGCCCTTGCCCAGCCATGTCAACTTCCTCCTCAGCGTCATCCCGAATGCTTCAAAGTGGGATGCACCGCGCTTCATGCCAGACAAGATGATGGACTTGTTGAGGAGTGTGGATTTGGACAAGGCAAAGATGGTAGGGGGACGACGATACTGAGTTGCGGACCATGGACGGATAGGTGACGGCTGGTAGACCAAACTGGAGTATTTGCTCAAGTACAGTCACGTGGAACATGCACGGAGTTTAGTGGTGTATATTGCGTGGTGGCATCCAAAGCTGGAATATGGGAAGTTCCAGAGACGAAAGAGCGAAGAATCTTCTGAAAGCATTTGCGACGGCGCTCGAGGAGTTGTCTGATAATGGCGGGGACCATCTCCCGGTTCCCCTTTCTTTTCTTTCCATTTTCTTTCTGAGCCGGGTACCTTTAGGTCGGTACCCGACCCACCCAGTTACTCTGCCAACGCAGCTTCGCCCGAGCTCTATCCCAAGAGAGAGCAACCGGCCGTTCGATAATCATCAACAGGAATGGGTCTGACGGGACGGGGAGGTCCGCTTTTCGTCCTCCTTACTACGGGATAGGACTACTCTTGCCTACCGGGAAGTTCTCGCAAGGAGACGGCGAGCTTTTCGTGTATTATAATCTCTGCTCGTAAATAGCTAGCTAGCTTCATCGAGTCTCTATGACCTTTGAAATCAATCAAAAGTGCTTTCACTCATTCTATTCTATTCCTTGCCTCCTTTTACAGCCCTAAGGTTGTTCTCGATCACGCGTCCTGAGGTGTATTCCCCTGCTCACCACACGTGCCACTGCAGAGTCCCAGACCCGTACTATGGTATCAGGCCGAAATATTGTTAGCACAACGCTAGACAGGGGTCATAGAGCTAGCCGAATCCAGATATCAAGACCGCGCACGAGAGAATACCTTACCACACCACACTCACGTCCTCATCGCATCTTCTGCACTCAAACGCAGTCAAGTTCTGCATCTCAGCCCTCGTAACCTCAGCAAAGATGGCTTAAGAAGCCTAATTTATCCCAAGATGATCGAATTCGCGCACACACTCTTCAGCGGATCGGTTGAACCTATACGTCAAATAGCAGCTGAGCCTCACTGCACTTATGGCTTAGTAATGGTTATTTGGCTTTTAACCTCTCTATCTGGCTAGCGTTATTGTCCCTGTCTAGCGTCGCGCTAACAATATCTCGGCCTGATACCGTAGTAAGGCTCCGGCTTGGAAGCTCCCATGGAAGCGGGCAAGTTGTTTGAGGGCACGGTCCAACGCGGATTAACGCTATTCCCGCACCGGTCTCCACGCCAAGCGCAAGCGTTCGTTGTGTCCCCTGCAAGCTCAGAACTACTACTACTCTACTTTCCTCAGAACTACTCTACTTTCCTCGTCACGGCTTGAACTGCGCTGTAAAGCCTTGTGCTGGCCCTGATCTATATTCATTCCTATAGAGGGTATGCTTGAAAGTCGGCAGGCATTATTTGCGCGTCGGTTTCCCCGTCGGGGCGCGTTCAAGGCGATTGAAATCGAGAGGTAATTGAGTCCCCAAAGTTGTAGTAATGACCTGCCATTCAGAAGCACCATATCGGCTATACGATATGCGGATGAAACACGGCATGTAGTCGCCCGCCGTCTCTGGGGTTGGTTGTCTGGCTACACCGTACGATCGTGTGGCCGCATCTGGATCGTGTTGTCTTCAGGCGGCAATGGGCATTGACAAACATCTGCTTCGTGGTTTGGCTGCAGAGATCTAGCTTTCCGAGTGTGCTTCAACACGCCGTCTTTAGCCAGCCCCAGCCAAGCCCTACAGCGGTCCTCGGAGTGCAGACTCGCCGTCTGGCTGGAAAGAGTTTTTCTCCAATATCTTGCTTGCTTGTCCTTGAGGACGTAGGGTTGTATCTCCAGGGAGCCATCCGCCATCTCCACGTCCGTCTGGCAGCGACATGGGCGAAGTAGCTTGAAGAAGCCGCGTCGGACTTCCCATCTACCAGCAACTCTCAGCCTGGTCGTGTGGCTGCCGAGATGTTGCCTTTCTGTTGACGTACCTATACAAAGCAGGGAGTCCTGACACTCATCAACCCCGCCAGCCTACCCTACGACCGGACGTTGTCCTTTAGAAGGAGCCTTCAAGTAGTCTTCTACGGGCAGTATTCTCTTTGGGGTGTGTGTTTGCGGAGGTTCTCGTCGCGCTGCTGGCGTGGATTGAGATTGTCGTCTTTGTCCTTGTCGTGGACGGAACCGTTAGCCTCTAGCGATGGTCAGACTGTAGAATTGTCCCCACCCTGTCAGACTCGTTTGATTCTTTTCTCGTCATGTTCGTCTGATGCAGCAATTTCCACGTCCCACAGCCATGTTTCTGTTTCCATCTCCCACGTGCCGTCTCTTTCAGCATCTCTTGTGACTTTCGCTTCTGTGGGGGCAAGACGGGGAGGCTGGCTGCAGTCTCGGAAAGACATCGGCGGGACACTGCAGTTCCTTGGATGACAGTCCAGTACTCTTGTATCTTGCTCGTATCTCTCCCTCTTCATGAAAAGGCTTTCGCTCATGCCCTTGCTCCCCGTGCCTTCTAGCTCCAGGACAATCCTTTCGTTGTTCTAGGTCTAGGTCTAGGTCTAGGTCTAGGTCTTGGAGGACTGTCTTCGTCGCTGTCGTCGTGCGGTCAGGAGGTGTGAGCTTGCAAGCAACAAGCCGAGCAGGCGCTGCAGCTAGCAGTCGGCGTCGGTGGGCATTCTTCCTGGTATGGAGTTGAGTCACAAATTGCTTTACATGGAGTGGTATAGCCTGGATTTGTGCTGCAGGGCTTTCTTGGAGCAGACTGGGAGCACCCGCCATAGAGACAAGCGGTTGGCGTGTTCTCTGTTGTAGTGTCCACGGCGAGGCGTCTTTGAACAGTTGGAAGCAGCTCTGGAGGTCGTTGGGTCACTGTCCTGCTTCTCATACTACCTAGGTACCTAGGTACCTGGGAGGTAGCTTAGGAGGTAGCTTAGGAGGTAGCTTAGGAGGTAGCTTAGGAGGTAGGTACCTAACTCAGGTGCCAGGTAGCTCTAGGGGTACCTAGAGGTTATCGGGGAGGTTCAGGATTGCCACCTGCACACGTGAGGGAGCGCCGAGGCACCAGAATTGCGGTCCTTCCCTCTTGGGTAGGTAGTATAAGAAGGCATCAACAAGCCGAGCCGGCACCGCTTCTCTCTCTCCCCAAACAACCTCCACCTCCACCTCTTCACTTCTTCACTTCTTCACTTCTTCACTTCTTCACTTCTTCACTTCTTCACT